TTATGATTTCACGTTTTCCTTCTGGGGACATTGTTTTTATGCGGATACGCAGGACATAATTTATATGTACCAAAAATAGGTCGTAAAACACCGAGTTAATTATCTCTTTCTACCATTTGTAATCAGCCAGGCGTAGTAATGAATGAGGTCTATTACTTTAATCAATTATATTAATTTAATATTGATCTTTTTTCTGATGTGATTTTCTCTAAATAATCAAACAAGTTTTAGTCATGTCAGTTGACTCGCAATAAAGAAATACAATCTTTACACCCTCTTGGTTGGCTTAATTTGTGATATAATCTTAAATACTTACTAGGATGGCCCGTCTGCAATTATCTCTATTATAAATCGACACCGTTCAAAACAATTCTCAAAAAATAGCGGCCCAAAAGTCGGATTCGAAAAAGTGATTTTTATGTCTGGCCCAAACGTGCCGATAACCCATCATTCATCATAAACCCATAAAACTAAATAATAATCCATAGAACTAAATAATAATCCATAAAACTAAATAACAATCCATAAAACTAAATAATAATCAATAACATTATAAGTATTCACCCATTACAATATAATATGTGCAGATTTGGCGACAGTGTAAAAACATAGTTTTAGTGGAATTGCAGGAACAACAGACGTCTGAGTGAAATTGAAATCGTGCTTATCAATGCTATCAGATTAAAATCTCTACACTCCCTTTGAGATATAATGCTTCAAGGTTTTGATTAATGATTTTTCAGGTTGGAACGATCTTGGATTCCACAATCCTGACATATTGTCGCCGACTCTAGATCGTTTCGCCCATGATGGAGTTATCCTCAACAATTCATACATGCAGCCTATGTGTACCCCGTAAGTTAAAACTATCAAGTTTAATTGGATCTCATATTTAAGGGGCTATCTGCAGTCACTATCGCAAAAGTCAACTAGCATACCTTGTGTTTGCGGTGATTGCAGACCACATCTACACTTTGAAAACTTAACAACAATTTCATGCCTTTCATTTTATCTTAGTAGGACGTAAAACTCCATTCATTTCATTTTATCTTAATCGTCAACTTCAAAGTACAAGACCTAATTTGCATAGTTATTAATCTATCGGTTTCGTGAACCAGTGTTATGAACCCAGGAACAGTACTGGTGTGTAGTTTGTAGCTTGTGGGTCAGAATTTGGGTTAATCGTATTATGTCCCTGGCTTTCTAATTCGTTCTTGACTTACATAAATATGAAAATGATTGTGAAACAGATTGAAAACGAAGGCGGAAAAAAATTCAAGATCGTTTTTATATAATTTTATCATTCACCATTGATATTTTCAGATCCAGAGCAGCCTTTCTATCTGGTTATTATCCATTTCATACCGGAATCCAGGTTGGTGGCTAATACAGTTGAAATAAGAAAGGTTGACCAACCCCCTCCCCCTTCTAACTCATACTCACCTAGAAACACCGAGTTATTCACCCCCTCTCCACCAACTACACAATCCGTAACTACCCCAAATAGTCAATAACGTTCTATTCAGGGAAAAAAGTTACTAAATCGTTTCTCCACGAATACATTTTTAGTACAAAGTGAGGGTTGGGTATTAGGGGGTGAAAGCCGACACCGGGCTGACACTCGGAAGCACTGGCACAGGCATCAGAATTTTTCTAGGGTTAGAGTAGGTGAAAGCCTGTTCCCAACTCCTATCATGTAAATTTATACAAAAAGAAAAATTCACTATTTTTTATTTGCTTTATTTCAGCATTATGTTATAGATTACTGGCAGCCGAATTATTTGACACCTAATGTTACCCTTCTACCACAACATCTTAAACAACAGGGTTACTCTACACACATGGTTGGCAAGTATGGGACATTGTTTATTATGAAAATACATGTAAATATCAATGCCTCGCCAGAATGTCTCTAACCATTGTTGAATGGTTCCACATCGAGAAACATTCCACCTATAATCTATTAGAAACCCAGAAAGCAGGTTGATTTTGAGTTGTTACTTTCCTACCTCTACATGTCCTATATCTCTATTTAAATCTAGAAATGTCCAATTTGCCGCTTGTATTTCTGTTTACACTGGTAAAAGATATATGGATATACTACGAAACTGTAGGCATCGGATAAGGATCAATAGACCCTTTTTCAACTGTTTGGATTTGAAAGGCGCGTTCATCTTCATTGATAGAGATCATCAGACTCTTTTACCCTCCATCTTCATTAGGTGGTCCCATCAAATTTTAATAGAGCCATTAGAATCCTATGATCTCTGTCCTGCAGGCCCCGTCATTTTCTATTAAATTCTTGATTAATAAGATTCCTACCACCCTGTTCTCTCTATCCTGCAGGTGGCATCTTGGATTCTGTAACTGGAAATATACTCCAACATATCGTGGATTTGATACTTTTAGCGGATATA